CCTTCCAGCTGCAGAAATGGCAAGCGCTCTGGCTTTTCATGTTGTACAGTGTTTGTTTGGTTTTTATTTCTGTTTTGTTACTTGAGAGACTCTTGGAAACGGCCTGTGCCGGAGCCAGCTGCGGTCCCCGGAGGTGGCTGAGCCCTCTCCTCTCGCCAGCAGAGCAGTGCCCTCTGGTGCACACGCGCAGCAGTGGCCTGGTCCTCAGCTGAACCGAAAGATATTAATAGAGGATTAAAATGAAAAGTCCACATCTGACACGCTACCTCATTCCCACGAACTGTTTGCCACGTTGTACAGTTCTGATGGGAGCGCTGCCGGAGGGGAACTGAAGAGTCAGCTGTCTGGATCCAACCCAAACGACAGATTTTTTGGTTTGTTTTCTCTTCATGTCCCTTCCAGAGTTAAGCTTCTGGTTAATGACAACGAACGCAGGCACAGTCCACCCTTGTCCCTTAGGGCCAAATCCACAAAGGATTAACTTCTAGCTACGGTGCACTGTTGCCACGTGGACCTGCCAGCACTCTGTCAGGTAGCTAGGCGTACCCGTTAATCACACAGCAAATTTAACTAGACCAACAATCGCAACACGCCAAGCAAGAAGTCACTCAGGTGAGCTAGAAGGAAGTGCCAAGAGTTATGTCCTAAGGCTCCTTTGCCCTAAAACCTGGACAGCAGCATCTTATCACAGACTGCAGAGATGACCTGTCCGCTCAGGAGTCACTGCCGCCCTCTCCGGAACGAGGCACCTCGCCAGCCCGACGAAGCGGAGCCGCATTGGAAAACCAGGTTTGAAATCCCTTCTTGCAGGCGAGAGCTGTAACAACGACTCCAGAGCATTACAACTCAGACTCTCTCTCTGGCTCCACCAATTTTTAATTACTCCCTTGCAAAGGGGAAAAGCTCCCAAGGGGAGACCCGGGAGGCCTCTCGCACACATCTCCCCGAGCCCAGCAGCTGGACGTTCCTGGGACAGAAGAGAAAGGTTGGACGCTGATGATTCACATCACACGCAATCACATTTTGAGGGCAGCTTCTAGTCCTGGATAAGCAAGGCTTTCAATCTTTTTTCTTTTTAAACCTTTTTCTCCTGCTGCAGGCACGTGGTGAGAGTGCTCATAAGGTGAGGAACTACAGGTTTGGTAAGCTGGAGGGAGAGGGCCTGGCATACAAGCAAAGAAATGGATTTAATTTTTTTAAAATTAATTATTTATTTTTTTTTTTAGCCAACTATTTGTTTGGTAGTGCTACCAGACCAGTAAAAAGAAGATCTGTTAGCTGAATTAAAAACAACCAAAAAAAAGAGAGAGACCAAGGAAATTTATTTACTTTTTATCTATGAACAGTATGACATATAATTATAGACAAGTTTTGATACACAGGAAAACCCTTTTGTCAACCGTTTTTTTGCTAAATGAAACAGCACAATAATCTTTACACATTCATATTTTGTTTTTCCTTTTTTTTTTTTCTTCTTTATAATACACAGCTTTCTTGGGTTGAAGCAAACTGCAGGACATATTGAGTACTGGTATATTACAGCTACTTACATCATTTAAGAACAGCAAATGGAGAAAAATAAGTTATTTAAATATTGATTTCATATACAGAAAGTGCAACTTTGTTAGTTGTTACATAACTTGCTTGACAGTTTTGATTCCCCAGAGGGTGTCAATTAAAGATAAAAGTATCTTGGACCAAAAGTATTATTTATTCTAAAAATAATACAGTACAACTGCACAGCTGTGACTTGGTGAATCGACCACTATTGCTGCTCTTAGAGATGACGACCTGTTTGGATAATGCAACGTTTAATGCTTCTGATCATGCTCCCAGTTTGCACTCAAAGCCAGGCTCGTCAGAGAGCGCAGGGAACTATGGGCGTCATTGCCACCCGGGCAGTAACAGAGGGTGATCGGTTGAAGCTTACGGTTGCGACGGCATTCCGTCATCTTTTGGGCTTGCTGCTTCGATTGTGAAATAGCTGCTTGAGTTACAAAGGTACAACGGATGGATACAGACACTTAACATCGTTAGCCTGAGCAGAGCAGGTTAGGGTTCCAGCAGCAGGCTTCTTCCGTGCTTCCCCAGAGTTAATGAGGGAACTTTTGCTTCGAGCACTGAATGGTCGCAAGAAAATGTAAGAGGTTATGGCTCTCGCACCACACCGCCTCACCTGCTCGGGGAAAGCCACCGGCCACTGAAACCACAGCAGGGAAGCTCAAACACTGAGAAGCTTAAGGCTTTTTTAGATTAAAATATAAACTAAAATTGTAATTCAAGTAAGACCACAGAGCACAGTCTTAAAAATGAAAACAAAGCAACTATTAAAACTCGCAAATCTCAAACTGCTCACTCCAGTCCTGACGGGTGTGATTTGCTTTCCCTGGGCTACACAAGCACCTAAAAATTACGGATTTACAAAGAGTAAAATGGCACACGCGTTCAGCTTATTCCCACCATTCTCCTTCTGTTAGTAAGAGAGCTGAAAGTAATTAATACAGGAGAGCTTTGTTACGTGACTTGCCTTCCCTGTAACACGAGGAAATTTGTTTCCTTTTTTATTGCACATCGCCAGCTTGGACTTCTCCCTTGCTCCAATGTAGCTGCTGTCTACTTACTTCTGCTCCGTCCTGGCCCCTGCCAGCAATCCCAGGAAATCTCAAGACTCTTTCCATCTCCTGCTTACTGTCAGTCACCACGTAAGCCCCAGAGAGGAACAACAGACAAATCACTGCTATTAAAAAGACAATTTTTTTTTTTTAACATTTTTTTCTTTTTTTAGATTTTTCACCAGCCGTGCAAAACACCGATGCTGTACGTTCCCTGATGCCGCCATGTTAGAACACGCTGATTACCCACGCACCAAAGAGAACGTCACAGAAACAGCTTTCACGTTACATCAGTGAATTTTTTCACCAGCCGTGCAAAACACCGATGCTGTATGTTCCCTGATGCCGCCATGTTAGAACATGCTGATTACCCATGCACCAAAGAGAACGTCATAGAAACAGCTTTCACGTTACATCAGTGAATTCGTTGCCTTCACATGATGGTGCGTGGCAGACAGTGGTGAAATACGAAACAAGGGAAGTAAACCTCACACCTACCAATTCTACCAGGAGCCAAATTAATTATCATCTGTAGTAAAACACACAGTTCACCTGACTTCAACATGACCACAGAAGGATCATATACAGCAAGGAATCGTGGAGTAACCACAATTTTTCATTCACCGATCTGAGAGCATTTTATTAGGAAAAGTGTCAGTAGCTCAGTACGAGGCTGGGATGACTGGGGCACCAAACAGCGAAGTGCCTTGTCTGGTTCTAATCAGTAAGTCGATGTTGGAGCCGATACTGGGAACAGCCACACATCCTGGCCTGTGCCCAGGTTTCTACACCATCTGCCTTTACCTGCCAGAGTAAGCTTGCTCTGTCTTCCGTGGAGCGTTTGCGCTACAAGAAGCTGAAGGACACACCAGATATAGACCCCAAACAAAAAGCTAGTTATGTGCTATTCATGATAACCTGTATTTGGTATATAAAATGTGTACCCATATAGAAAAATAAAATCTGTCCTTAGCCTCATATGCGAATGGAACATTATACAGGGGTTTAGGCAGAAAAATATCATTACATCACGGAAAAATGGTTGACCACACATGCCAGAACAACGCTCTCTTCCAGTGAGAGCTAACATTGACACAGTCATGAGGGATATCGACTGTTGTAAAAATCACAGTGTAATTCGTAAGACTGTATAGGATTTTTTTCGTCCATGCAATGGAATTACTGGATGTGATGATTTCTATGGGACACAATTTGCATTTTCGACGCATTTTATCTCCCACAAGTGAATTTTCATTTGCAGAAACCCACTGTTTGGAACTGATATGGTCAGGATACCAAGTCAAAGCTGCAGCATAATGATTGACAATATAACACAGTACACAGCATATGATTAAAATGAAAAGCAGTTACATATATACAAGGCAGTATATCTTGGAACAGTTTAGTAACAACAGTAAATGCAGACTGTAGTGAACAAGAAGTTAGCCTGACAACCGAAACCTAGCGTAACCCTGCATTTGTAAAAGCATCTCTACAACACAGAAGGTGTTATGATGAGGCATTTCATAGGAGCTACTTCAGCTGGAAACCACCCTAAGTGCAGCTTAAGGGTGACAGGTTGAAACAAGGCTTGGGAAACAGGAATACAGGTAAGTGAACACTAGGTAACTGCTTAAAAGCTTGTTTTAAGGCAAATAAAAAGCTGATTGCTAGAAAGCAGTTATAAAAATGACCTCAGCACTGTACAAATAAAAAGAAGCTTTCTGACTCTCCGTGGGTTAGTTGCATTGGAGTGACAGAGGTGGACCATACTGAAAACTAATTCCAGTCCATTAGCTTTGGCCTAGCTAAAGGCTTTGTGGCTTACTGGAACCTACACCAAGCAACAGCGAAGATGACCAGGGAGGGTGTGTGTTTAGCTCTAGACTGCTAAGATAAACAAAAGGCATCTGCCAAACAGCTTCTACTGGAATTTGCACCTTGGCTTGTACCTGGCCTTTAGGACTGACTCCAGGTACCTGGCACCCAGATGTACAGAAGACCCCCAACCGAAGGAGCTCGCCATAGAAACGGGGCCTACTACTAGTATTACTTTCACAAACTTGCGGAAAATGTGCAAGGGTCCTTTAATTCTGTGAAGCTGTCTGATTCTCAGGCCAACCCTGTGCACGTTATGAAATGAGAATACTTTACAGTGGAGTGAGGGGGGAGGGAAGTACCACTTCTGTGTTACCTGGTGGTTGCTTCTCTTCTCCTTCAGTTGCCAAAGACAGCAATAGAAACATTTCATATCCTTTGAAGAAGACATCTGCCTGTCCTTGGGAGCCACTTCCTTGATCTCCTTAGCTATGTGAAGTAATTAGAGCAATATTGGTGCAGGAAGAAGCAGTGGATTCTCACCCAGGCAATGCCACGCTGCGGATCATGTCAAATTGCCTCTGGATCAAGAGGTTTGAAGAGTCTTGCCGCTGCCAGGAGCTTGCTTATGTGCCTTTCCTCTGTGATGCCAGCTTCCTGAAGGCAAGTTTGTGACAGAGAAGGCACTTTGCTCAGTGTGTTGAATCCTGCTTCTGTGAGCAGGCTGCAATACATAGGTAGACCAATGGAAATCAGCCAGTCAGATACAGAGGTGACAAGTCCTGGGGATACAGGTTTTCGGCAAATTTCAGTGAGCCCTCCGCTTGGAATCTGGACAGTAAAGGAAAAAAGAGAAAAGAAGCCTTAACTTTAAACACAACTGCTTGTTTTACAGCAAGGCGTTGTCTTTTTTTTTTTTTTTTTTTTCTTTTCCTTCCAAACTGGTAGAATTTCACAACAGACGTTTCAACTTCTCTCATGAAACATTTGTCAGAATGACAGTGGTGTGGGTTGAAAGGCTGAGATCCCTTGGCACAGGAGCAACAGCAACGATTCTGGCAATGCAGATGCAGTTGGCAGTATCTGGCTGCTTGGGCGACCATCATGTGCCATTCTGAATTAGTCTGAGATCAGTAAAAAATATCCAGTGACAAGACTTTCCAGGGTGATCCATCTAATTTCTCAGTAAGGGAAGAGAATACCAATTTTGCCTATTATTTCCTCAGACAGACCAAGTTCTCTTACAAGAAGCCATGAAAGCTTTTGCCAGCTCCCCCCTCCTGCATTTGCTGAGGAGGAGTGGACAATAGCATAGTTTTAAGTGAAAAAGGAGTGTAAAACTTCAGATTTCAATACAGAAGCGTTTAATACATGCCACCCTTAGTGAGCAAGTCCCTGTTACCACTGCTTGCAGTAGACTTTCAAGACTCGTTCAGGTGAGACAGAGGGCTATCTCCTCTCCTTTAGACTGGTAACTGTCCTCCTTTGGGACACAGGGAGGTACCTCCTGTCCCTGTAGTACCCCTACCTACGCTGTACCTGCTGGGTGAACACAGGGCGCACTTTTGTACCAGGACTTCACAGGTATCTCCCTGTACCAGTAGTCAGTTCTTTTTAAAAGTCTGCTCATAAATAAGAAAATTTGGTTTACGGAAATACTCACTGCCATGCGATGCTGCTTCCTCAGCTGCTTTACCCGGATTTGGTCCATGTTTGTGGCAACATCCTTTTCAGGCTGGTCTAAGTCTTCAGAGTACCTCTGTACCAAAGCCTCGGGAATGCCACAGCGACCATGCTGAATGTTCCCAGCCAGACACAAAGGAGAGAGGGGAGATGAAGGAAGTGTATCAACACAGACCAATCAATGCAAACACAAAGAGAAGTGCTGGACAGGGTGCAAGAAGGAGCTCTCCTCAAGATTCCATGAAAACTGAAAAAGCAATCCCTAAAGGAAGGATTGGACCTTAGGACTCCTTCCGTCCCAAAAAAGATGTCCTAATCACTGTGCCGACAACTCAGATTTTCTTGGAAGCCTAAAATCATGACTTCCTTTTTCAGCTCTACTTCGCCACACTAACAAAGAGACATTTCCATGCCCAGTGCCACCAAGGTACTAGTGGTCTGAAAAGATGACGGTTCAGAATAAGTTTGGGATTCCTCAAGTCGCCCCACAACACAAGAGTTACTTTAGGCATAAGGCCTGATAATAAGGACAAATGCACTTATAGAAAGTCTAATGTCCCAATGATTTATGGTTCATCTAGGCTGGTTACTCACAAAAGCACAACAGATACAATAAATGAAAGACTATCCCTCGGAATGCTAGTAGAACAAAAGCATGGAAGCAATGTCCTCCACTTACCTTGTCAGAATACGGTTCTTCAGTAAGATCAATGTCTTCAGACTGCAACTTGTTTTCTATTACCATTTCCAGATCCATGCCCCTGCTACAAGAGACTTTCCTCACTGAAGCAGGACCTAGCTTTACCACATGCTGCTGGACACTAGCAGTCTCTGGGAGCTCCGACAGCCAGGGTGGCAGTGGGCTAGAAGGGGCACTGGGCTCCTGTTCAGAAGATGTCCTATGGACAGGTACTCCATGACAATCAATGGGAGTGGAGGAGCTGGTCTTTTTTACCGGCAAACATGGTGCTTCTTGACTTGAGTGGTTCCCGCTCGCGGTCGTGGAAGGATGATACAATCCATTAGAAAGGCGTTCTCGGCATTTTTTGGCAGGGACAGGTGGCGGCTGAGAAGCATTTTTTGGCAGCGTTCTTGCCTCATTTGTGCCTTTTTGCTCAGCTTCTAGACCTCCCTTGAAGACTAGAGCATAATCAGCCCGGGCAAGGTCACGAAAGCCTTTACTTTGTATTTCCAGAGGCGTCCTTGTTGCAAGATGCATCACTAAGGCAGGCTGAGCTTCACAGTTTTTCAGGGGGAAAGGAGCTGGCTTTCCACCTGCAGTCTCCTTTATGGAGCAGTCCAATTCCTTAGCTCTTCCCTTCTGAGAACTAGCAGCTCCTTTACCCTGCTTAGCCATCAAGTCATCTACCATACAGCTGCCTCCGTGAGTCTGAGGCGGCAGGGCACAGCCAGCTGCCTTTTTTGCTGTATCCAGTGAATCCTGAGGAAAAGAACCTACTTCCTTGCTAGCGTCCTGTAGGTTAGTATTGGGTTCTCCCTGGAGATCATCCAGTGAGTGAGATCTTGGCCACGTATCTACACCCTGGGGGCCATCTAGAGTTTCATAGCTCCGACAGACAGCAACCGGTAAACTTCTACGGTTCTTCTTCAGACCCGTAACAGCTGGAGGTTTGACAGAGCTCTTCAGAGCACGATGTGCACAGGTCAACCGGCTTTCTTTTTCCCCTTGCTGTAGAGTTTCTATTGACTCGGTCAGTGGAAGCGTAGGATAATTTGATAGCTGGTTTCTGCTGAAGTCCTTAAAGCTATGCTCACTGGCTGATTTGGAGGGCAGAAGACAGGTCCTTCGAGTTTTACCTAGACGCAAATAAATCACAATCCACTGTTAAAAAAAAAAAATTTTAAAAAATTGCAGCGTAACGGATCACTTCTAGATGCCTTTGAAACAAAATGATTTACTCTTTCTGTTAACTCTAAATGTGCAAGAACTCAGTGCCATTTTAAGCATATGAATTTGTGAGCTTCAGCTTTCTTAATGAAGAACTGGTGAATGCAACCACTAAAGAACATACATTTAAAATACATAATATCCTTCCTATTCCCCAATTCGTAGAGATTTGAGGTTTAGCTCGTGTGAACCTTTTTCAGTGTAAAAATATCCTACAGTTAGAACTGATATCCCACATCCATTATATGAATCGGTTTTGAACTAGTTTGACCCCAAACAGAAATAATGCAAAAGACCTACCATTTTTTTATACTTTTCTAATTTGTTTAGGATATCGATAATTATGTCCACCTTCTAAGAAAGTTCACTAGATTGCTCAGGAAAGATTTTTTTTTCTTAAAAAAACCCAAACAACAAACAATCCTGTTTACTCATTTTAATTACAAATTGTGCCAATAGCGTTATTTCATCTTTCAAGCAAGCAGCAAACTATTTGCAACGGCAAACCAGAGAGCAAAGTAGTGCTGGAAGACTGGTTTTGCACCAGTCCCTTTGTAAAGTTATTTTTAGGGAGAGCAGAGTTTTATGGAAAAAGGTCTTACACTATGAGATGGAGAAGTGTTCCAAAAGGGAGTTTCAAGTGCAACTAATCTCAGTGTTACTCTCACGTCATGGTGTTTTATTGAAGTGGAAGGTCTCAGAGATGTGGTGTTTTATTATAACCACTTAAAACAAGACGACATGAATCAGTATGAACCACATGTTCTTTGTAAGCTTTATTTTATATTTTTAGGAGATATGCACTACTGATTTTAAACAGTGAAGTCCATCAAATTCTGCTTGACAGAAACATTCTGATCAAAGGGACTGAGCTTATTAGAGTATTCATTAGTATGAAATATAAGGTCATTTCTCAAATACTGCATAGATTTTTTAAAATTTATTTTCTCTTTAACAAGACAGAAGTAAATTTGTTTCAAAGCAGACAACCTCCCAGAATGACAGCACATCCATAACATTTATTGTTTTCAGGGTGACAGGGATACTTTCCCCCACATACCGTAAGCTTTTTAAAATCAGGATAGATAGATAAAGCTTGAAATTTCTTTTTCCAATGGAAAAAAACCCAACAAACAAAGTGAAAACCCCAAACCAACAGATTCGGCTAAATGGGATTGAAAGCCTGGAATAATAGGCAATCAATAGCTGCCAATAAAAGGACCAGTTACTTTTAAAGATCTAAGTTCTGCTAATTTCACTGGAACTAAAGAAATCTGGTGTACTTTACTTTTAAGCAATAGATGCTTTTTTCTCATACAGCCTGCCTTCAAAGCTTTATCCTGAAAGAAATGCTTGGCTTTTGAATAATATAAAGTACTTGCTTTGAATATGAATGAAACAACCTGCTTAACCTAAAAG